AATATGTTTAATGATTCTTTTGAGAGGGGCGTTCCACATCCTTGAGGGAAGCTAACATCTCCTTAATTTTAGAGAAGGATAAACAGCCTGAGGATTGCCCCTCCTATAGGCCAATCTCACTATTAAACGTGGATCTGAAGCTCATCTCAAAGATACTTACTACACGGCTGGAAGATTTACTCCCCTTGCTTATTAAAGACGACCAAACTGGCTTTATTAAAGGTTGTAATTTGTGCAATAATATGCGGAGGTTAATGAACACAATTCAGTTTCTTCATCAGCGGGCACAAGATGGTTTGGTTATTACACTCGATGTGGAGAAGGCATTCGACCGCGTTGAATGGCATTATCTATTCCACACTCTATATAAATTTGGTTTAGGCGGTTTATTAAATGGATCAAGCTTCTATACAACAATCCTCTTGCTGCAGTGGTCACTAATAGTTTTCGATCTCTTAACTTTCATACTCAAAGGGGCACAAGGCAGGGTTGCACCTCTTTTGTTTGCACTAGCCATAGAGCCCTTGGCCGAGGCAGTTAGAACAAACCCTGACATACACGGTCTTACCATACTGGGCAAACAAAGTAAGATTACCCTTTACGCAGATGATGTTTTGATTGTTCTAACCAGGCCGGAGACATCTATTCCAACCCTTATCGAGGTCATCAACAAATTTGGTGTCTTTTCTGGATACAGAATACATTTCAGTAAATCAGAAGCAAAGCCACTCAGCATCCTAAAGCAAAAACCTGAAATTACATCCCCCTTCCCCGTTAAATGGTCTCCTACAGGGTTTGAATATCTGGGAATATACTAGGACTGTCAATCTTCCCCCAAAATCAGATTTTAATTTTTAATTTTTTTTATCTTAAAAATTGGAATAATATTCGTACCACCGCATTTTTATATTTTTTGTGTTATAATGACATTATTTTAATACTTCAGTGACAAGCTGGAGACGTTTTGCTCCTCCTCACTTCAAGTCGCTGTTATTAACTTTTAACCTGCAAAGTTGGCAGTGCTGCAACATTGTAGGAATTTATGAAAGCCCTTGTGAACATTTCAATAGTTACACATTAAAACAATATTTATTTGCAATTACTCTATTGAACGACCCTGAAGCATGAGCAAACGGGCTGTGTCACTTCCGATCAAAGAGATGCGCCCTGTAACTGTCAGCACAGGGCTGACAGGGCACCCTCCGCTGAGAAGAGAGAGAGGAGAGGAGAGGAGAGGGATTGTAGGTCTGTTTGTAAACGGGGCTTCTCTGACAGTCATGTATTTCCCAAAAAAACATCTCTTAATGCACGGTAGAGCGCCGTTTTTTTTTTTTTCCCTCAAAATCGCCTTGATATCCAGCAAATCGCCTGGCAACCCTCCAATCGCCAATATACATTTGATCGCTGATCGCCCCAGGCCTATTTGCGTCGTACCGGAAGTCAAAACAAACAAACAAACCTTAGTTTCCAAATTCAAATTATTTTTACAATAATTCAAATTGTTTTCGAATAGCGAAGTTCGTTCTGACAGCCCTAGAATATACATAAGCCCTGCATTCGATCACATGTGTATAAATTAAATTTCCCTCCCCTGTTTGAATGCATTAAACTGGATATGGAGCGATGGAATGGTCTCCCAATCTCCTGGCTGGGTCGTGTTGCTTTGTTGAAAATGAACATCCTTCCCAGGTTATTATATCCAATTCAGATGATACCAGTTCTCTTTTCGCATAAAACTATCAATAATTTGAACAGCTAGTTTAGCTCCTTCATATGGGCCAAGAAGAGGCCACGCATCAAACTAGCTACATTAAGTCTGCCCCCCTTGGAGGGTGGTCTTGACCCTCCTGACATCCGGAAATATCAGCTTAGTGCTAATTTATGTTTTGTATCTGACTGGGTGCAAAAAGACCCCACATCTCTGTGGTTGGATGTTGAGAGCTCCATGTCCAAATTTCCCTTAACAAATCTATTATTTCTCAAAAAACTTAAATTTCTAAAAGCTGCCTGTAACAACCCCATTACAGTCAACACTGTTAAAGCATGGAGGATTATAAGAAGATTGGATGGCAAATCGCAAACCACTTCTGTTCTAACCCCAATATGTGATAATCTTGACTTCTTGCCAGGTATAGCGGACAGCGGTTTCCAAATCTGGCAACTAAAGGCATTTCTAAACTGCGTGACTTATATAATGGACCCACTTCTATGTCTTTCAGTCAGTTAACAGAGAAACACAAAATTTAACAACATGATTTTTTCTGTTACCTACAGATAAGGGATTATGTCAAGAGGGGCACCACATTATCTTCCAAAGTTATTCCTGTATGGAAAAATTGCTTTTCTGTTCACAAGCAGGCAATTCTTTAAGCTTGTTCCATAATATTCTCAGAGACTATGGTAACACTAGCACCCTCCATTTGAAACAAATTTGGGAAAAAGAACTCAGCGTAGAGGTTACAAACGATCAGTGGCATGATGCTTGGAAAGGTGCGAGGGCTTTAAGTGTCTGTAATGGAATAAAAGCCATACAACTCAAGATTCTACACAGAGTCCATATATCTCCCTCACAACGCCACAGGTTTGACCCTGATTTCTCTCCTACTTGTTCCAAGTGCAAAAAAGAGATAGCCAGTCTCACCCATTGTTTATGGTCTTGCTGGAAAATACAGAGACTTTGGTTTATTATAGGGCAGGAGATTAATAACATTTTAGCAACTAATCTCAAAAATGACCCATTACACATGCTACTCAGGGTACCCAACAGCCTTATCTCTGATAAATATAAAAGGAATCTTTATAAGTTGTTAACTTTCAGTGCAAGAAAGTGCATACTTTTGAATTGGATAACAGACAAGGCCCCATCTAAAACACAGTGGCACAGGGTCATACTTAAATATGTCTCACTAGATTACATGACATACATGTTACACTCTAAAGATGATGTATTTCATAGAACGTGGGAGCCTTTCATGTCCTACACAGGATTGGATATCTCTGCTATTCTTACTAGAGGGTTTATGTAGGATAGAATTTGTATGAAGTCTGCTTGTCTTTTATTTTGCAATACCTGAGCATTTGTCATAAATTGATGTCTGTATTTGTGAGCCAAGGTTTTTTTTTTTTTTTGGTCTGTTTTGTTTTTTTTGTGTGTGCTTTTATTGTTTGTCTCTCCCCCTTGAGAGAGAGAGGGGGTGTCCTTGTTAATGCTGTGAATTGTTTTGTTCTGAAAATCAAAAAACATATCTATAAAAAAACCCACACACCACAATGTTCTAGTTGACAAAGCTCTGTCACACTGATTAGTGTCAATAACACTGTGAGGTAGTCCGACTGTATTCAGGTTGAACCACTCACGGGCCAAGCCCATAGTGCTAGTCTCTCTGGGTGGGGTGGAATATTTCCACCTGCGCCGGAGACAGCAGATCCGTACGTAGTGGTAATGGTCACGGCAGGCCAGACAGGAGTTGAAAAATCTCCGCTAGCTAGTGCTTCCCTGGCCAGCGTGGGGCTACCAGGATTATAGACAGACCTCCTTCCCTCACTGACCAGAGTTGAAGGAATGAGAGCTACTAACAGAAATGCATAAGGGAGGGTCTTTGGCCACTAGTGCGCCAGAGCATCCACCCCCAGTGGGGCTCTCTGATCACTCAGAGAGAGGAACCAAGGGCACTGAGCATTCTCCACTGTTGCATCAACGTCCACGGTAGCCTGACTGAACTGGACCAAATCTGTCTCACCTCCTCAGGACATGCCTTGGGACAACCCCATGGACATGTCCGCTGTTCCCTGCAGCGTAGCTGCTTCACACGAGTGGGTCTCACCTGGACAAGCTAGCCGCGGGAAAGTCTGCGGCGAAGCAGTTCAGGAGGGAAAGCAGTGCAGTGGATACACTCGTTGGTGGATGTTAAGGCAGCCTGAGCATGGGGTAAGCCCAGACACGCCACACACATGGGATGAGTGTTCCAGCTAGAAATTTTATTGCCACAGGGACAAAGCTTCACTGGGGGTGTTAGCTGTAGCCATGGTGAGCTAGCAAGCTTACTGATGCTGGCAGGACCGCAATTTAGCTTAACAGCTTGTGCAGCTACTGGGTGAAAAGGAGGGAAAATATCGCTATTTTCTCCTCTAACATTTTGGGGCGACAAGTAGTGCTACTTTCCTAGAGGTATTGCTACCCATTGTGAAGGTGTTGCTAGCGCTACCTTTTAAGAGGTACTGCTACCTCTTGGTGTTGCTAACACTACCTGTTTTAACAAAAGTGTTGCTACTTTTGTTTTGAAAATACTTAGACTTTCCAAGGTCAATGTATTGCTACCTTATACCAAAACTAGCTGCAGAAGAATATTGCTACTCCTCGTGAGCTAGTGTGCAACTGTACAGCTGGGAGCGAAGTGCCTGGTGACTGAGTTGTACACTCGAGTCTGTGGACAGTTAAGCTAAGCACCTGATAGCACAGTTGTCTACAGGCTTCTGTGAGAAGCAAGAAGAGGTTTTGAGGTCACGCAGGAGGCTTTCCCCATAGTGAGACACAAAACGAATGCTATGAAAGAGAAGAAAGAGTTTAAGTCCAGAGGGAGTGAAACCAAAACAAACTTGTTATATAAAGTCAGATTTTCTTTAGCCACTAAGCTCAGCTCAGAAACACTTCCTGATGATTTGTGTTATTGTTCACTGGCACACAATAAATATGCTCCGTTCTTTCAACATTGGATTGTGTTGCTAACTAGCACCAAGGCGGTCTTCCTGTTCCCCTTTTTGAGTGACGATTACAGACAAGTGTCTGCTCATATGGATGAGTATGTCCTCTCATGCAGACACAGAATATACGCGCTTGTTGGCCATCAGTTTGGTGTGTTCATGTGCAACTTTTTGGCTGAGACACAGCGTCAAGAGGTGACGTAGCAGGAGACTCTTGTCGCCACAATTCTCCGACGTCGGTTTGGTGTGTCTGGGCCTTTAGTAGTGCATTTAGTGAAGGAGTGGGTTTGGTATCTGACCTCCATAGCTTCTTGTGAGAGCTGGGTGGTGTTAGTTAGAGGCACTAGCTGCACCAGGCCGGTGATGAGCTCTGCTGTGCTGCTCTGCATCTCTGGAGCTTGCTTCACTGGGTTCTAACAAACAAAAACAAGTTCAAGTTCAGAAAGTTGTTTGTCATTCCAGTTCCATACATTTGAAATGAATTAAGATTGATGCGAAAGAATAAGGATGCAAACATCTAAAGCGTATGGCTGTGTCAAAACCTGTGTGCAAGAAAACTAGTAGATGTAGCGAAGGTGTTTATAAGCTGTTGAGTCATTGTGACATGGATGTTGTGGCAGACTCACATGCAACATGAGTTTGGGGTCAGCGTGGATGAGTTTGACCAGAGCAAGGAGGAGGCACTTATAGCTTCGAGTGTCCAGTTCTGTGGCTTTCTCTTTGAACTTAAGGCTGGTGGTCATCTTCCCTTTGAATGTCAGACTCTGTGGAGGGCAGCAGACTCTGGTGAGGTTTGGCACACAGCTTTCATTGGAACATCCAGAGAATGTGTTGGGCAGGTGTGGACTTTAGAGCTGGTTCAATGTGGTGTTTTTACACTCTGAATGAATGCAGCCAAATGAAACTCTGAGGAGAATCCAACTATGGTCAAATGTGTTCCCTGTCTCGGGTCATCTGATTGAGGTGCTAACTGAAGAAAATGGGACACCGATATACTCTATATTCTACATGTGCAGAATCAAACCAACACTCAGTGTATCTACAAACAAGTGTAGTACAGCATGTGTATCAAAGCCAGTTAGATCTTTCTTCATCTGGGCCAAGGAAACTATTAAAACACATCAGTGAGCCATGTTCCTTAAGTGCCAAAGGTGCATCTAGGGACGGACATTGCGAATCAGGCTATGAATGCTCTGGTGTATGGCACTGGTTTATGCTACATACTAGTCTCAATTCCATATACACTGTCCTGCTGCCCAAAATACTCACAACACCAAATATGGATTCATCCTCAGCTGAAAATAGCTGCCAACAAATGCACTATTTCCTCCTGTTAGAGTAACATTTGATAAAAAAAAATCCAGTGACCAGCTGTGTTCGTAAAAATTACTAAGCCTTTTTAAAAATGAAACTATATATTTGTGGGCTTCTTTTAAAGATTCGCGTTTTCAATAGTAACCACTGGGCTCTTAGCTGAGAGCCAAAGGCAGGGCAGGAAAGTCAGAAAGTCTTTAGAGACTCATTAATGCATTGTTGGTTTGGGTTTGCACATGGGAAATTCTGCAACAAAAACACAGAATAGCAGCCTTGTCCTTTCAGTAGAAACAACCACATCATTTTCAGAACTTCATGCTTTTCACAAAGCTTAGGATTGGAGTCATTTGGGTATTATACGTATTTATAAACGACTGAAGTAATTAAAGGACAAAGCCAATCTACAACAACATGGATCTCATTTTTGCAAGTTCAGTCATCATTTGTCTCATTACATAACTGGGAACTAGGGATGCAATGAGCTGATGCATTGATGACTTATCGCCCATCACCCAGGTGTGACCCATCAATGAATGAATACAATACAATAATGAATGCAGTTTATTCATCAATGTTAGTAGAAAGTTCAGTCTTTCACCATTTTTAGTTACCATCAGTTATAGTCAGCCATCCAGCTGAAGTGAGCTGTCGGCTATGTGTCACTCAAACACATTTCTTTTAATTATGAACATCTCTCTCATCTCTTTACATACCAACCTCTTGGCTCAACTTTGAACTACTTTTCTCAAGGTAGTTTTGTGCAGTTTGAGTGCACAATGAGGTATTACTAGTGAAATTTTAGGTGTGTTCGCTTTCAGTTTGACCTCTAAATAAAGTGTTACAGATGATCTAAATCAGGCATGTTCACAGTCCAGCCCAGGGGCCAACTGTGGGCTGCAGGAACAAATTTAAACAGCCCACGACTTATCTTTCAAAATAAACTACATGTGGTCCGCTTGGTTAATCAAGCAAGATCATTTTACATTTTTTCTGTTCACCTCACAATGGCAGGCCTATCATACAGTTTGTAGACATGCACCAAGTAGGAACTACATGGGCGGACCTAAAGAAATTTCATAAACTAACAGTGAACAACTTAATAAACTGTTGCCTTGCAGCAGACATTTCCTGCTAGGTAGCAGACATGGCCACGGCAAAAAAGCGTTAAGTCGACTGCGAGGGCAGCCACCTTCAGGAGCTGTGAAATTAATACTTTTGAATAATTTGCATGGAAAGATGAAACAGTTGTGTTTGTCTCACTGGATGTTTTTTTTTTTTTTTTTTTTTTTCCCCTTTTTTAATGACCCATATGATATGAGAAGCAAGTTTGGACACTCCTGATCTAAATAAACTTTTCCTTTGTTTCCAACCCGGCTGCTCGTGCTTGCTGTTGGACTTCACGGGAGGTTTCACTGGGTTCCCTGTTCACAACAATACTTTGGTAAGTTCAATGTTATCGTAACTGATAGAAATGGTGGACAAAACAATAAAAATAAGACCCAAGTCGTAGTAAACCCGAATCGGGTTTACCCAATTTTGAGTAAATCCAGAATTCATTTTTGATCCATACAACACAGTAAAGTGATGTGAGATGTTACTGTCCTCTAACCGGTGTCATGCGTAGTGGAGCGTGGGTGCCGACGCCTTGGATCACCCGATTGAGGGTGTCTGAGAACATAAAGCGGAGCTCTCCAGAGTAGCAGTACACTGCATCAATCTTAGGCCACCAGTCCAGATGAGACTGAAAGTAGACAGCACAGGGTGAGACAAATGAAGTTACACATCAAACTGTTCTGTTAGGGCTAATATGTGAAGAAGCTCTGCTGACTTACATTGGTGATAATTCTGTGCAACGAGTTTACCAGGACAAAGTGAAAGGTGGAGGGGGAGGAAGAGGCCAAACAGACCTTCAAGGCAAAGAGGAAACACTCATGAGAATTAGCTAACGTAACTGATATTACGTACCTGCTAAGGTAAGGAAAATGTTTCAACAACTAATTATTATCACTTCTTTTAAGTCCACCTTAAAGTGCTGGTTGTTGTGAGGATTGATGCGGAAACAGGAGACGAAGCAGTCCATCATGAGCTCCACATCAGTATTCTGGCTGCCCGTCCCCCTCCAGAAGGGCTTAGCTGGGTTGAAGAGCAGAGCCTGGTGGGACAGGGAGGGACACAGGTCACTTCAGGTTATTCAAAAGCAAACTTTCTAGTGAGATATACTCCAGACTAGTCACAATACACTAATAGAGAGGAATAAGTGGTAGTTATTTATATATTCACCTCAAGTACTGGTGCCAAATACAACTATTATAAATAACTGGTAATTTATCAGATAAAGTGATGTAAAGTGGCAAGAAAAGCAATCAAGCTCATGCTTTAAGTCAAGTCTTCTCAGCCTAAGCTTAGAACACTACTCAGAGTCCATCCAGCATCATGTAGCAGTATGAGCTAGGATGGAGAGGGGGGATGACACCTTATGTTTCTTTTCTTTTAAGCAAGACCTCCCGAAGGTCACAGAGCACGGCTTCGGATTTTCTACAGACTGAAAAAATATATGCATCAATAAAAGTACAAAAGAAAATATTATCTCAAAGCAGATATATTAAAATCAGCACGAGGGCTGGGCGATATGGACAAAAATTCATATCCCGATATTTTCTACTAAGTGGGCTACATGTTCAGTTGCAAGCTGATCCACGGCTAAAGTCCCCTGTTATTTTTGGAGCATGTGTTTTTCCACAGCAGGGCAGGTAAAAGAAGTTTACCTGTTGGAGGTGAGCTGTTTGCAGAGGTAAACTAAGAGCCTGTTGTCTGCAGCTCTTCATCAACATCTCACTGTGGCTGTTTCTGCTTTTACTCTTCCTGCCATATTATTACACTTGTCTTAATTGAAGAAAAGCTGCTAATAAAATTCCGCTAATTCAGTAATAAACATATTTTAAAGGCGCTGTATGTAAGAATGTGGCCAAAACAGTTATTGCACTCAAATTCAAAATACTGCCGCGAGTCGTGTTTGCCCCCCCTCCCCTACAGATTCAAGGTTGCTGGACAGCGGCACGCTGGAGACTGATTTGGTCCTTGATCTTCGGTTTTCCAGCGGACCATTCGAACAAGTCCGGCTTCTCTGCTGCTAACGCTGCTGCCGGGATACAGCGGAGGAACCGACTGCTAATGCTATGTACTGGGACGCTGCTAATGCTGCTTGCCGTGCTGCTGTAGCTCAGTCCTAACTGTAAGTGATGCTGAGACTCTACTGACTGTGTGACTGGTAGACGGCGGTGGGTGGCACAACAGGCCAAAACACAATTTCAAAACATAAACATGATTTGCGGACTGTAAAATATTTTTTTAAATGGGAATATTCTGGTCGTACTATTGTTGTCGGTGAGATCAGTATGTTATATGAACATTATTCCTTAGTCTCTGTGACATATTAGGATGATTTTACGACTATTTGCTTTAGATTTCTTACATATAGCTCCTTTAATTCCTATAGAGTCTTAAAAATAAAAGTCCCCTATTATTTTGTTATGTAAAAACTTTATTGTGCGGCAGCAAAATAAGGAAATGTTGAGTTTTCAAGCAGCAACTTTACACAACTTCTAATACAGCTGATAGCGAACATGCAACAGTAAAATAAAGCAGATATCTAAAGTAAAAACAGGACACAGGAGAGAAACTAAACTCCAACCCACAGAGATTTAGTTAGAAGCTACAAAACAGCTTTGTCTCTGGTCTCATGCAGACAGGTGAGTAGAGTCTCACATCACACACAGCTTATTTGAGGGGGAGAAATAGGGATGGTAGGGTGTTGACTGTGGTCAGGGCGAGATGTCACCGCTACCTGCATGAGGGCAGGCAGCTGGCCTGGCTTTTTTTGACCTAGTCCGGAGAAGGATTAGGTGCGCAGCTCTGCGTGGCACCTGGCGTCTAAACTGATAACAGAAACTCAAATCAATGCAGCATGGCTTGAAATGGACGTGGCTAAAAGTTACAGAGGAAAAGGCCCTCAGTACTGTGCCTGTGCTACTGTGGTAACTTCATTCATCTCATAGACTGATTTAGTGTAGCTTGTGCAACATATAGACCGATGTCACACTGTAGAGTAATTAACAACCACCACCAAGAGAGAGCTCCAACAAGTTGATTTCAAAGCTGTAAAATGTCCTTTTCAGTATTTCTGTAGTCACAATACTTTAAAAAAGTTATCTAAGGGATCCTTATACAAAGAACTTGCTGATGTTGTATGCTTAGGTGAAGAAATTGCTATTGATATGTTTTTTTTTTTTTAATTTATAAACTCTCAAATATCAATACCTGATTGGCCTTGAAAATCCAGTGCTGGTCAAAGTACAGCTCTGACATGCTGTGTTTCTGCTCCCAGTTATGGATCGTGATGGGGACAAATAAAGCCATGACAGAGACAGGCCTATTGCAGTTCTTACATGACGGCATTTATTTAAGCTGAGTGCAATCATTTTGCAGGATCCTTAGATTCCACAATCAAGGGCATTTTTAACCAATGTTATGAATGCCATAACATATAAAATGATAATTAGGTTTTCATCAGCTGCGTTGAGGCAAATAAACTGTCCACCTGAGCACAAAGATAATAATACTAATAATAATAACACTAATAATAATAATAATAATAATAACTTTATTTGTATAGCACCTTTCAAAACGGAGTTACAAAGTGCTTAACAATAAAAACAATTAAAACACAATAAAGACAATTAATACATAAAACAATAAAACATCAATTAATTTCAAAACAGTTACAACTAAAGCTGCAAGCAGCGATGAACGGGCCCTCGCACCTTCACACAACTCGGGGGGGCTTGCAGGAAACCTTCTGACGCATCAGTTCATTTCTGTCAAAGTTAGACACCCCATGCAGGAGCGACTTGGCATATCCTTGATACAGTGCTGTAATCACATATTTTACATTTTGTATCACTACCTCTTTCCACTAGAGAGACTTGGAGAGCGCACTAATTATACATGATGTTTTTATACATCAAATATACACAGCATTTAACTTTCAGATAAATCAAAAGTTAAGTGTTTGAGACCTACTTCCTGTTACCACTAGGTAGCACTATGAGTATCAGGAAATATGGTCATATCAATGTTTTCAGGGCAGGACTAATATGAATCATCTGAAGTTTGATGGAGATCAGAATATTTACGGCAAAAATACAGCAATTTCCTGTTTCATGGCGAGACATCAAAATTAAACCCTCTGCAGCACGCATAGACACTAATGATATGTCATGTTTGTGTACATCAAATACACACCACAGCACTGAAATTTCAGGTTAATCAAAACGTAAGTGTCTGGAAAGAAGTACTTCCTTTCACCACTAGGTGGCGCTATGACTATCACGGAATATTGTCATATAAATGTGTTCATGGTGGGACAAATATGAATCATGTCAAGTTTGGTAGACAACGGACCATTTACTCCAAATTTATAGCAATTTCCTGTTTCATGGTGAGACATCAAAATTAAACCCTCTGCAGCACACGTAGACACTAATGATATGTCATGTTTGTGAACATCAAATATAGACCACAGCATTGAAATTTCAGGTTAATCGAAAGATAAGTGTCTGGCGCTATGATCATCAGGAAATATGGTAATGAAAATGTGTTCAGGGCGGGACTAATATGAATCATGTGAAGTTTGGTGGAGACAGGACCATTTATGCCAAAGCTACAGCAATTTCATTTTTCATGGCGAGACCTCAAGATTCAATGCTCAGCAGCGGGCGCGCCATTCAACATTGGGCAAATCCTGTGATAATTTTTGGTCACAACGTAGTCACACTTACATACACCAAGTTTGGAGCCAATCTGATTAAATCTGTAGGACAAGTTCGTTAATTTACAAGCCCTGGAAATGGGCAAAAATGCACAAAAGTGGCACAAGTAAATTCAAAATGGCAGACTTCCTGTTGGGTTTGGAGCATGGCTCCAAGAGGCTTTTTTGAACGTGATTGAGTGTTACAGGTGCCTACCAAGTTTCATACATGCAGGTCAAAGCAGCTTTGGGGGCTGCTTAATTGAAATATTCTAGGGGGCGCTGTTGAGCCATCTAGGTGCATCAAAGCACAAAAATCACATCAGACAACAGGACTTGCAACCTGTGATGTGTATGCCATGTTTGGTGAGTTTTCAAGCATCCCTTGTCCCTTCAAAACAACATTGTGTTTAATGGCGAACAAGGCGGCGCCACGGTAACAGCGTTTGATGAAAACTCAAAAGCTTCATTTTTAAGTATCATCAAGGTCTAAGGACTTAGACCAGCAAGTTTGAGGTGGGTCTGATTAACCTGCTAGAAGAGGGACATCAAAGAATGTATAAAGTAGCTTTCTGTTGCCAGAAGGTGGCGCTATGGCAGTGATTCAAAATTCCTCTGTAGATATGTTCAGGGCTGGACTGTCATCATATGTGTGAAGTTTTGGCAAGATATTCCCACGTGGAGTCAAGTTACAGCAACATTTATCATCACGGCGAAACATCAAAGTTCGCCACCAGGCCGTGGCCATGCCCTTCAATGAAAACTCACAGTTTCCACAATAAAGCATCATCAGCATCTTATGACTTTTTTCACCAAGTTTGAAGTGGATCTGGTCAAGTCTGTAGGAGATGTACATTAAAGTCTAAAACATGACATTTCCCATTGCCAGTAGGGGGGACTATGTTTATCTCTAATTATTGACATGTAGATGTGTTCAGGGCGGGACTGTCATCAATCCTGTGAAGTTTGGCCAAAATTGGACCATGTATGCTGGAGTTATAAACTACTTCCTGTTTAGTGGCGAGACCCCTAAATTTGATGCCATCCCACGGTCACACGCATTGACGAAAACTCAAGCTTTTGATAACTTTTCATCTTCAAGGTCTTGGGATGGGACACACCAAGGTTTGAAGTCAATCGGATGAAATCTCTAGGACTAGTTCGTTCATTTATGACCCCTGGAAATGGCAAAAATGCATCAAAATTGCACAGTAAATTCAAAATGGCCGATTTCCTGTTGGGTTTACAGCATGCCTCCAAGAGGCTTTTTTGTAGGTCCTGGAGTGTTACATAAGCCTGCCGAGTTTCATATATGTAGGTTAAACTAGCTTCAGGGGCTGTTTCCT